GCGCCACCTTTCGATCCAAAGATGGGACCCGGCCTATGCCACTCTCTCGCGGCCAAAGAGCTGATAAATGGCTTATTCCAACTGGCTGAGCGCGGCGGGCTTCATTCCCTCCCGTCCCCCTTAGCACTCCCTGAGCACACCCGACCAGAGGCTCTCGATGTGTTTTGAAACCCTGTGAAAGAAGGGAAGAGATTGTCATAGCCTGCTTCGCAGCTATCCATTTTACGTTTATCCATTTGTTTTTTTTATTTAACATTCCGTTTTTGAATTTCATCTGATCTGACTCTCATTCATGTGGCTTTTCGTCAGTTTGAATTTTGTCTTTTGATTTTCACCTTTTTGACATTTATCGCTTCAGACTTTTTAACTGCTTGATTATTATTACTTGACTTCTATCATTTTGACCTTTGGCTAATTTGCCCTTTATTCCTTTCAATATTTACCTTTTTGCATTTGACTTTTATTCCATTTTCCCTTTGCCATTTAACTTTTTTTTGACCCGTAACTCGCATCTTTGGGTCCGTAGTGGATGACGCCACTGACGTCAACGCGTGCCTGCGGCACTTCACGCCTGCGTTGAACGCTGTGATAAACTGCCACCGCCTAGTTAGAAGAACGCGCGTCTCCAAACTGCAGTATCCCTGGCTGACCGACGACCCGGCCCGCGAGAGCTCACGTCCGAGGAGACAGGGTGCGCAGTACCTGGCCACGTCCTCGCACATCGGAGAGCAGGTCCGACTTTACACGACTTCGCAATCAGGTTAAGAGCCGCCTTATTGCAGCAGGGTGCGAGTCCCTTTGCGGTGAGATAGTGCACGGTGGACCGCCGCAGCTTCTGACTTCCCTTCAAGGGGTTTGCCATGGCAGGTTCGTCGCCGATCGAGGCCGCGTCTGCGGTGAGCCCCGAGGAGGCCGAGGTGACGGCGGGCAAGCTCAGCCAGCCACTTCGCTGCCGTGGGCCCCGCATCGCAGCCGACCTGCGGAGCGCAGCAAATGCCAGCGCCAAGAAACCCGGACCGCCCACCGTCTGCGCCGCTGGCTTCTCGTTCCGACCTGCGACGCTACCAGAGTTGTCACGGTGTGCTCAGCGTACCAGTACATCGCAGGCGGTGGGCCTGGGTGAGGTCCCACCCCAGGCTGCGCGGGAATGTTTTTCAGTGGTCGGTCTTTATCTTTTAAGCGCATCAACTTGTCTCTCGTGACCAAACTTTCCCCAGATAGCTGGGAGGCGACATGTGTTATACCAGCTCCGACGTCAAGTCATCGGGCTTCTCAGCGTGCTCTCTAAGATCTTAAAAAAGCTGGCTTACACACAGCTGACGGAATAGTTTAACGCGACGGCGCTGCTGCACCCATCTCAGCATTCCCATAGGTCGCGTCACTCGACCGAGGATGCCGTGCTCGCCGCAGTCGAACGCGTGGTCACCAACACCGACGACCGTCTTGTATCGTCGGAAAGGACGATCGATTTGTCGAAGAGATTTGAAAGCGCTGAAGACGACTTCCTCCTCACCAAACTATCTTGGCATGGCCTTGCCGATGTGGAACGGATTAGGAGCCATAGGTGCCATGATTAGAAGCCCTAAGAGTGGTCGAGGGCAGGCGGTGCGTGAAGGGCGGCTCACTCCTCCCATGCCATGCGGTTGTACCCCAGGGCTCGATCATCGGTTCAGCTTTATTTTCATTTTTTGTTTGCCAACGATCTATTTGGACGCTTGACTCATGGCCACCATATCTCCTACGCGGACGACACCATGCCGTGGACTGCGCACTCCCTGACGGACCGGGTTTCGCCGACATCGAAACCAGACGAAAACTTACCATGCGCGAGCTTCAGAACTGCTTCAGGGCCGATTGTCTCCAATTGAACGAAACACAAATTATTTTATGTTCGTTGGGTCAAATCAAAATGTAAAAAGTCAGCTGATTTTCACTTTAAAGTACACGGTTTGACCAGGCATGCCTCAATTAGCACCAAAATTAGCACCAAAATTAGCACCAATTAGCACCAAAATTCTGGGCGTCATAGTTGACCCCGGTCTGTCATGACCCCGGTAGTTGACCCCGGTCTGTCATGACCCCGGTAGTTGACCCGGTCTGTCATGGGGTGCCCATGTCTCGAGCGTCGCGAAAAAATGCAATGGCATCCTAGTTTCTCTACAAATTCCGTAATTACTGTACTTCAGATCTTTTCAAAATCATTATCCAGACGTGCGTATTTACTCATATCATGTACTGCCTGAGGGTGTGGGGTAGGGCGAACAAGAGTCAGCCGCACAAAATTTAAAAAGTGGTCAACTTTGTTGCAAGAGTAATAACCGGCTCTAAAAAACACCACCACTTAACTCCGGCTCTAAATTCCATTGGATGGCCAAGCATCAAGGTGATGGTGACGCACCGCGACGTGATAAAAGTGTTTGAGGCCTTGAAGGAGGTAGGCGCGCCTCACGCTTTTTGTCCCACGCGCCGCTGTTTCGAGTCGTGAAACGCGCACCTCGGTCAGAGGTAGTCTACACCTGCGCAGACACCAACCGGCCACCACGCAGAGGGCGTTTTCGTATCGTGCCGCAGCGACCTGGAACCGCCTGCCGTCGTGCGTGCGCCATGCCCTAACGCTGAACGCGTTTAAGACAGCCGTACTTGATGTGATTTTAACCACTGAAAATTGATCTCATCCGCCCCATAGTGCGTCACTGGTCCTGTTTTACCCTATGGCGACTGTTCGTATAATTTTTGCATACCTTTGCGTGTCTTTTCATAATGCAGCTATTTGACCTGAAACCGTAATAGGCACAATGTGGATGGCTTCCAGTATACTGCTACTGCTATTGCTGCTGCTTGCTGCTGCTGCTGCTGCTGCTGCTGCTGCTGCTGCTGCTGCTGCTGCTGCTGCTGCTGCTGCTGCTGCTGCTGCTGCTGCTGCTGCTGCTGCTGCTGCTGATACTGCTGCTGCTGCTGCTGCTGGCTGCTGCTGCTGCTGCTGCTGCTGCTGCTGCTGCTGCTACTTCTACTGATACTGCCTACTTCTACTGCTTCTGCTGCTGCTACTGCTGCTGCTACTCTAGTGAGTAATGCAGGGACGGCGACAAGCCTGGCGCTCTAACTACACCCTCATCTGAAAAACAGACACGCATTGGCACCCCGACTTCGGAACGCACGAGCACTCCTATCGCTCTTGGCCACGCCCGCCGCACGCTTCCTGCATGCGCACTGAAACTAGCATTGTGTACGCTCTAGTTCTATCGAGCGTTCGTTGCTGCATGAGCGTGTACGGTTCGTGTAACGTAACACAAATTACTCGCGCACAGAAAATTGTCAACTTTTGTAGGCAAATACTCAATGGGCCAGACGCTGCCATCACATCTCAGATGTTATCGAGCAGCTTGGTTGGCTGCGAGCAGCTAACTGAGTCTAGTGCCGTTTATTGATTTGGCTGCGGAGCAGCGACTTTCCATTTCCAGGGGGTGAAAAGTTGCATCTCTGTCAAGCACTTGGAATAGAACGCAATTCACGGATACATATGTCTTGGTAGCTCAACACGTCAAGTCACGGGTGTCGATTCGTATTCTTTTGTGATGGCCCCAGAAAAGGCCCAGAAAAGACGCGTACGTCCAGTGCCTGCTGCCTGGATCCAGCCCTGCATGACTTCTATACTGCTTGGATTAAATACTGTTATAAACTATACAAAGATTAAAAACATATATGTCCGCCCCGGTGGCTCAGTTGGTTAGAGTGCCTGCATTCCTATCCATCCACCCATGGCATGGTGGGTTCGAGTCGCTTTAGGGCGCTCGCTATTTGCCCTTGGCAGGTATGACTTGCGGCCGGCGGCAACGGTCGCGCTAAAGGTCAGTTGACGTCAGAGGGCAGGACGGACCGTGCTGAGCATTGCGGCACGTTAAGCTTTCGCCACTGAATTCTGTCGTTGCCTGGGATTGCGCGATCGGATGCTGGGGGTCATGGCTCACACAAGCACTGCTTAGCATGAGCGCTGATCCCAGAAATCCATGCATTCGAAGGGTTTGGCTCAAATTTATATTAAAAATATATACCGTGTTTAATCAAAATGAAATAGACTAAATCCGGTGAAAACAATTGAGGGGGGGGAGGGTTAGGTTGTCGGACCTTTGGTTTGGCCTTCCATTAATTTATAAAACTTGGCATCCCTGATTTATGTCACGATCAATGAGAACAGATATCGTGCATCAAACGTGGGAGGGGCAAAACGACGTCTTCACGTAGAATAACAGCTACAGACGGGAGCCTTTTAAGGAAGCTTTGAGTGTACTGCCATGGTATGCTTAGATAAAGAAATCACAGTGGACTTGCACGACCTTCTCAACAAACATATGTACAGCTGGAATGCGTATTGAAGAAAAGTTTTCAGCTCCTGGTTTTTCGGCAGAACAGATTCAAAGTTCTTCTGTTGTGTTAATGAACTTCAATGTACCATGAGACATTGGTCAAACTACGTTGTAGTGCTAAATATCGATTACATTGATGGTATTGCATATTTCAAGCTGTGCTCATCGAGAGTGTACCCTGCCACCAGTAGCTACGCAATTTATCTTCCATTTTTCATGCATTTCATCCTTTTCATTCATTTTCATCTTCAAGTCTTAGTTGACACTTACTTTGACTTCCACTCATTTAATCCTGCCCTTCATTCATTTTCATTCATCGCCCTCCATTCCTCATTCATTCACATCAGTATGTTTAGCTGCTGTCATCCTCAATAGTGCACCTTCACACACTTTTCACTTTCAAGCTGGAAAACAACCCTCAATATATGTTGATGTGTCACTCAACATAATATTTGTGGTACAACCAGGTGGACGATCGGGAGCACGTAGTTGTTGGCTTTGTTGTTGTATGTTGAGATAATGTAGAACTGAGGAGAGCGTGAGGGTCGGCGTTATCAATGCAGGTAGTAACAACCAAGTAGAGTTGAGAGGGGAAGAGGTAATGTACGGCATAGGGTCGTATATTTACCAAAAATTGAATGCGTATGCTAACAGCTCATTTGGAAGACGGCTTTTAAAACTATGACGTCTGTTAATACATTCGCATAAAATCAAAGCCAACTTTCCGCAGATGTGGGCGGACAGCTGCCCCTTCTGCTCCCAAATCTACCGCTTCTCGTCACCAGCGTTTCTGCCCACGCCTTATTTGACGCGTCGGCAAAACAACACGCCGTCGCCAAGGTTGAGCAGGCTGGCGTGGACTCGTGGGTCTGAGGAGGCCCGTTTGTTCATCTCGTGGATGGTGCGCGTGTTCTCGTCCATGGCGTCCTCATCCCCCAGCACCCTGGCGCCTCTGAGGGCGTTGTCGGCGACCAGGATGCCGCCAACGCGCAGCAGTTGCAGCGTTAACTCGTAGTAGTTGAGGTAGTTGGTCTTGTCGGCGTCGATGAAGGCGTAGTCGAAGGTGCCAGCCTCGCCTCCGTTGATCAGCGCCTGCCCGGGAACGGGTGACAGAACGGAACGGGACACAGGGGCCGCCCGCCGGGCTCGGCAGCCATGGGCCAGCCGCTTCTGAGACGATGCAGAACAGTTGAGCATCTCGTGTCACTAACGTGTCAATCGGTATGGCGGTCAGCTACGTCGACAAGAGCGAGAAGAGCACCGAGTGTTAGGAGAGAGTGGACTGGTCCACTCTGCCGTGGACCAGTCCACTCTTAGTCCACTCTTTTATTAAAATCAGGGTAAAATATGAGCCCGAGGCAACCTGAAGTCCCACTGATCGATATGCTGTTAGCGGAAAGTTTGCGCACAGCGAGCAGATCGAACGTACTGGCTAGTGTCTGCACGCTTAAATCTTGTGATTGTGTCGCGTCGTGTTGCGATGTTAAAACTCAGTTATTTACATCATTCTTATCTGAACTTGCTGTAACTTTGATATCACGAAAACAATGATTCGCTACGCCCAGATCCGGAGCAAAAGTCGCGACACTACCTGTCTAGATTACCTAGAAAGTGACAAACGCAACGTTTATACCTATGTTTAGTGGCGCAGCCCGGATTTTCTTCAGTGTGGTGTCCGAGGCTCAGTCAGCATGCATCACGCCGACTCTTGACTCTGTATCGGGAGCCCTCTAGGGTAAAAAACGAAAAAATCCACGTCTAAGGCACGGCCTCCCTTGGCTGCGCCCCTGCCTGCGTCGGCCCATCGTCCTCAGCCTGTCACGTGTGGTGAGGCGCCATGTACGCGGTAAAGCTTGGTACCCCAGCTGGGTGTCGGCAGGGACTTTTGCGCGATTCAACGTCTCGACTGGAGCGTGACCCGGCCATGACACAGGTAGGCGGCCTCGTATTGGCTTCGGTGTTGAAAGTTATTTGTGGGGTTGCCTTACAGCAGGCGATATGGGTGCATGGTAAGCACTAAAACGTCTATATTGCGGCACCTTCAGGAGTGCTGTATGAAGTCTGAATTCGTACCTGAAGAGTTTCGGTGGCTGGGGCGATCCTCAGGTCGATTTTGTTCTCCACACCGGCCTCTTGCCATACTGGACGACCATATTTGTTCAACCATTTGTCTGTGACGTCACAGGCAGTAACTTTGCCGTCAGGTGGCAGGACGAGAGCGGCGGCCAGAGCGCTGCGAAAGACGGTCACGCTGTTGTGTCCGCATAAAGTAAATAAGCATAGCTGCGATAGGAAGCTCGCTCACCCAATTTACACCAGACCAAAATGTAGATCGGAATATACCGCCAGAGCGCTGCGAAAGACGATCACACTGTTATGTTCACACAAAAGTAAGTCGACGCATCTATAAAAGAATCCTTCCATAGTACATCCACGGCAAGGTGAAGGTTAAACAATTTAAGTCACCGCATGGTGAATTGCTTTGTTTAACCTATGGCTACCTTACACTCGCTGGCACGCAAAGTACACCAGAAATCCCCTCCCCCCCCGCCCCCGCCCCCCCGCAAGCGTTGCTACAAGGTTGGACGCACAGGGGTTCAGCCAATGACCTGCGTAGTTTATGCAGTTCTTGGCCATACAGTGTTACAGGGAGGCCTCCGTACTTTCCTCACCCGTTTGCGATGCCGATGGTTGCATCCTACTGCAACCCATCTAAGTTTTGGAGAATGCGGGCTCCATTTTCAGCTCAGGTATGTTTGCCTGAAAATGGTCGTTTTTACTTCTAGATGATTTCGGAAGTCAAAGCATCCGAATATTTACCAGCACATAAACTAGCGCCCGTGGAAGAGTCCTGTGTTTTGAAGGTCATTCTGCATAATCACATTAATGACCAAGTGCCTGGGAACTATACGTAATGCAAAAGCTGCAGGCGATTTCGGACTTTCAAGCATTTTGATATTCACCAGCGTATAAACTAGCGTCAGTTAAAACCTCCTGAACCTTCAAGGTCACGCTTCGAGGCCAAACTGAAGGTCAAATGAACGTTCCACGCACACACACACACACACACACACACGCACACACACACACACACCCCTGTTTGTAAGCCCTCCCAAGTGGGGACCGCGCTGGACTACTACAGAGTGGGGACCACTTACACACCTCTTTAAACATGAGCTAGCGTTGTTACGAAATTAACATCTTAGTGCTGCTGAAAACCCGAAAAGTGCGATGGTAAGCATTTCGTAGGTCTAGCGATAAGGGATCAATATCCGTAGGATGCTGCGAAGCGGGGACCAGCTAATATGACGTCAAAGGTGCGTCATACGCCTTACACTTAGCAAGCTAGGGACCGGTCTCCGCATTGTAATGTGTATCTAAATTGCCCTCATTCATGACATGGAAAGAAAGGGAATTTGGGTGATAACGTCGCTTCGGTCACGTTGGCGAACCAACTGACATGGAAATGGAACATGGTTGCTGATGCCTTGCCTGCACATCCTTTGTTTTGGAAGGAGCCGTGATATTTATATCGATCTGTGCTATATCATGTCATATTTGTATAACATTGTATTATATTGTTATATCTGCATTATATTGCAGTATATACTGCTATATTTGTAGCTTATTGTAATGTTATGTGATGTTCCCATTATGTTGCATTATATTGTTATATTTGATTATATTGTATTATATTATGTTATATTTGACACATGGCAAGAGCTACACGCAATTTTTCGGTTTGCAACAGATGATTTTCACTTCTTATGCCTACTTTTATGCTACATGTTATGCCTTGTTCATTACAGTCCAAAATTATGTCTCTTCGTCTGCGTTCGAAACTTTTTCCAACAAGTTGACGCCAAAACTTTGTCAAGACAGGACGCATAACATTGTGTGCGAATTAAAAGTTGCCAAACTATGTGGTATTACATCACATTAAGGCGGTCGATTTCAAAGTATGAATAATGCGTAAAATGAGAACAGTACAAAAATCTGAACCTCCATGCATTTTTCAACATTCCGAGTTCTTCCGCTGTCTTTTTCATTATCCCTGTCTTCGGTACCTGGCCGGTACCTGTCGACCAGCCCACGGCGTAGATGAAGAACAATCACAATAACAAATCACTGCCTTGGTTAGTCAGGCGACGTCATATGACCTCAGCAGGTGAGTGCGTCGTACAGCCCCAATGATGACGACGACAACCACGATCAATCGATAGTCCTGATCGACGACGATCGACGAGTCCAGATCGACGACGATCTGGGGCAGGTCAGGTCAGTCAGCTATGCAGGTCACAAAATCGGTTTCAAACTTCTTGACATAGGTCACTACTGCAATCTGTGAGGCAATGTTGAGGTCTCAAGACGCGGACTTTCTGCTATTCGTTTTGAGTTTTTGTGTTATTTCCATGTGGGGAGGGCAGCATGAGACAGCAAATCCATCAGTTCCGATCACAGTCCACCACAAACACACTCTTGTGCAAAAGGTTTCTTAGTTTGTTTGCGAACGGATCAAACAACCACACCGCAAAGCAGGGGTTGCAACATAACACAACAGAGGATCTAACGTCCGGAGCCTCTCGAGCTTGCAGGTAAAAGAACATTGCCACCGCAAGGCTGCGATTGCACACAACGCAGCAGGGGATCTAGATATGGAGCATTCCAAGCTTTCAGCTGAAACTACATTTCCATGGTACACTTGTGCTTCTGGATCACATTGTATGTACAGAACTTAACATCCTTCCAGGAACGCCGGCACAGTGCACAGACTTCTCCTTCAGTGCCGCTAGGCAGTCTGCCATTCCTGAGCACTTCAGAGAACCGATAAATGGCTTCATGCGCCTCTGTATAACCTCCTTTTCTCTTTCAGTTCACAGCACGCCCCTCCTTTTGGCTTTGGGCCGTCTTTCATTAATCCTTGGCCCCCTGGGTGGTCCGTTTTCTGCTTCAGCTTGGGGATCGGAAGCCATCTCTTTAGCGTTCTTCACCCCCATCTCCACTCCCATGTCGTCAGGGGCAATAATGCTAGCGCTGTCGTTTATTTCGACACTGGGAGCGGAACCACCTTCGACGACATCGTAACTGCTGGGATCAGGTCATCCAGGGTCTTTCCTGCGAATCCGCCGATCCCTTTGGCCATCGCGAGTAGTATTTTACTCACTTTGGCAGCATGCACCGTCTTTTCGGGAAGTCTATAGAACTGCCTGTGGACACGTATGTCATGGCCCATAAAGCGGGCCACGATATCCACTTCAATCTCGCTCAGTTGCAGCAGCTGCAGCATAGTAGCCACATGCTTTCTGTACTTCGTGACTGTGATGTTGTTGACACGTGCCCTCCGCGCGAATGTCCGCGCGCAGTCGCTGCCTCTGAGCGTGCTCGCAACTGGGGCTGCGCTGTTGAAGAAAATGTGTGGACAGTCGAGAGGGATCCCAACGTCTTTCCTCGCTGCGATCAGCTGATCAAGCGCCCCTCGCATTGTGGCTGTCAGCATGATGGGCACATCGCCTCCTTTTTTGCTCCGAACCACTATATCTCCCAGCGAATGGCACAGCCCTCGCTCTAAGGGAGACAGGTGCTGCAGGACATCTTCATTGAGAGTTTGGTCCCTTTCAGTGTATGATCTGACCGTAGGCCTTGACGCTTCTCCCGGCCTTCGCCGGTTAAACAAAATGATGGATGCCAACGCAGTCTCCGACAATTTAACATAGTTCTTGATAGAGCGTTCCTCTTCCAACAGCCGCTGAGCCTGCACCAACTCATCCCGCACCTCCTTCGTTACACTCTGAACATCCGCATTGAGGGGAAGGTCGACGGGCTTATTCCACTTCCTTTCCTAGAGAGTGGTAAGCGCACGAGAAGACACGTGTAGCTTCCAATCTCGTTGGTAGAGCAGGAGGAAATCGTCCGCAGCCGTCCTCGGGGTGGCGTCTTCGTTGGTGATCCCGCGCGTTTTCAGTATCCGCGCGCATTCGCTGAGGCCATAACCAAGCTTGAGAGCAAGCGATAGGCTATGATATTTGCCCTCCTTCACACCGGCCATGTTCTTGACCGCGCCTACCACTTCCATGAACTTCGCGGGGTGAATAAACATATCTAGACCTGATCCTGGGCTTGATACATTCAGCTCCAGCAGCAGTCGTCCTAGCTGCCGCATTTTTTTCTCTGATGTGTGCATGTTAGTGGCGCTCGTGGCCCAATCTTGTGTATAGACGGGCCCCGAACTCCATGATAAAGGCATCATGCCTGCAAGTGGACGAAATACTATCGTCCCGCATCTTCGCCATCAGGTTTTCTAAACCAGCCGCGGCATCTCTGTGGCACGGCAGCAAGGATCTTGCCTGGGACTGGACTCGGCCCCCAGAGGCAGTTTTCCCATGGGCGTGGCACCGATGCCGAAAGAGGCCGCGTCTAGAAAAGACACCGTGAAATTTCCCACATGGCAGCATATCTTTCACGTTGAAATTCATATCTTGGGGTGGACGCCTCTTGGGGACAATCGTTCCTCGCCCATCTCGGAAAACAGCAGTTATGTTTGAAGTTGACTTTATGAATGATACCTTCCAGAGTGATTCTCCTCTCCCCTGATCCTTTTGGAAAGGCGAGCGCGTCAAGTACGTCGGGTTCTCGTTTATGCTTCCGGAAAAGATGGCGTGCAAATTTTGTGTGCAGGGTATCACAATAGGGGCAAACGTTCCGCTTTAGGGATGGCTTTCTTGCTTTAGGAGATATTTCAACAGAGACACTGTGTTCGCCGGAAGCCCTACTGCTGTTCTTGGCCACTACCTGGGCCTCATCCTGGTCCTCGTCCTCGTTCTCGTCTTTGACTTCCTCCATATCCTGGTTCTCGTCCATATCCTTGGACTTGCCCTTGTCCTCGTACCTCGTCCATGTCCTCGTCCATGTCCTGGTCCTCGTCCTCGTCCGTGTCCGCTGCTGGCCGTGGGTCGGGGAGGTACGTACGATCTTCATCTTCATCGTCATCAGGAATGAGGCCAGAAGCATCATTATCATGATCTGCGGACAGACCGATCGCCATTGGTTACCTAATGACGAGTATTAAGCAAAAACGAAAACAAAAAAACAGTACGTCGGAAGAAGGATCGTTCGAGTTACTCAACGATGCGCTACAGTGCCAGACCTATCGGAGTTGCGATTCTTATGCCGAGGGGACCGAGACACAATGCGCCGGTGGTCAGAGGCGAACCAGGGTACTTTGGGCTCCGAAGC